AGGTCAAAATTCAATCCATTGAATATTGAAAGAATCAATACATTCTTGATTTTCGACTAATTCATGAGTGTTGTGTGTTTAATTGGTGCCAAAGTAACATCTTTTTAATCTTCTACAACATAGTGACTGAAACAAGTGTGCCATAACAGAGTAATTCAAAATTTACATGTTATATGACTGTGATGATTATGTTTGGAATGTCGATCTTTAAACCTGTTTTTCTCAGAATTCTGTTTCATAAAACCATGTAAATACGCTGACTTCAGATTATGAGAACTTTTGTTACAGACATGCTATGGAGAAAAGGAAAACAGATTTGAAAAGATATTGAAAGCAGCTTTAACACTAGCACTCGCATGGAGGTGTCATTTGGCACTTATACCTATCATCCCCTCCACGGTGTCAAATGACCCCAAGGATTTTAGCTAACAAACGAAATCACCTGTGAACGGCCAACTTTGTTATGTAAATAGGGCCGTTATCACAGGCTGAGCTTCACTTTGCCATCTTAGGGGGAGGGGGAGGATCTGAATAGTTAGTTTTTCTCCAGTGGCTTTAGTGCATTTCTCACATCACATAACATTATCATGAGCTTCAGTCAGAATGAAACATACTGTTTTATAACATTATCATGTGCTTCAGTCAGAATGAAACATACTGTTTTATAACATTATCATGAGCTTCAGTCAGAATGAAACATACTGTTTTATAACATTATCATGTGCTTCAGTCAGAATGAAACATACTGTTTTATAACATTATCATGTGCTTCAGTCAGAATGAAACATACTGTTTTATAACATTATCATGTGCTTCAGTCAGAATGAAACATACTGTTTTATAACATTATCATGAGCTTCAGTCAGAATGAAACATACTGTTTTATAACATTATCATGTGCTTCAGTCAGAATGAAACATACTGTTTTATAACATTATCATGTGCTTCAGTCAGAATGAAACATACTGTTTTATAACATTATCATGTGCTTCAGTCAGAATGAAACATACTGTGTTAAAAATGTTATTACAAAATATATACAGTATATTAATTCTCAGGGTTCACAGTCTGGAAGTCACTCATTCGCAGCCCTTCCTCCCCCAGACGAATAAACAAAGCCCACCCTAGCCCCCTGTTGTTTCGGTCATCACCTCATTTGACATGCAAATGTTAGCAACCCAAGTAGCGGGTTAGCTCCTCTTCTCTAAACTAGCCCCAAAAGTGGCTGGGCGTTCTAGTGTTAAGATGTGCGAGGCGAGCCTGGCCTGACTGCGCTCTCCTCCTCCTAAAAAAAGATTAGAACGCAACATTTAGTTAATAATGTGTGTATAAAAATAAAAAATATTGAAATTATGACTTTAAACAAAAAGTAGTCTTCTGTTCTCTAGATGTTACAGACAAGGCCCGCATCCTTCCACCACCTGAAGAAGATGACAAAGTCTGGGATCGCGTCTTAAATTCAGACAGAAGACATGTTTTATTGTCGATGGTAGAGACAGCACGAACAACAGATACAACAGAATGCAAGTGTATTATACAGAGCGGAGGCATGGAGACCTCCAATCAGCAGCTTCCACGGTGCCATGTAGCTTGGCCTTCAGATAGACAAAACAAGGGAAAAGTACAGGCTTCTGCACATTGATAGAATGATGAGTTTAACTTTAACAAAAATTGCTTAAAAGTGTTATGAAATCTCACATTCCCCCCTCTGGTCACACATTCACGTGTGACCATCAGGATCGATAAACAGCAACATAACATCATAACTCAATACTTTAAAAACTCAAACTCGGTACTTCACTCGGTACTTCAAAAAACTCAGAAAACTCATAAAACATTTTCAGATCTTTCATAAAACTTGTCAACAATCTTCAGTAATATACCAAACTTCATCAGTCGATGGTTCCAGATATTGCTTTGAAAACAGTCTCTCCCACTTCTCCGTGTTGGTTTCTTCAGGCTGCATTTGTGTCGAGCCATGAATTCTTCTGTGACATGTCTTTCAATCGCACGTTTCAGCTTTAGTGTCCAGATTCAGCAATTCAATTCAGTCCAAATTATGTCCAAATTCAGAAATCCAGATTGTTCCAAATTATGTCCAAATTGTGTAATCCAATTGTTCCAAATGATGTCCATGCAAAAGAGGACGCTGGTGTTGTCCATGTCTCAGCAGCTCACAGCAGGCCTGAGTGGAATCAGGGGCTGTGCAGATTGCCCATGGGCTGATCCAGATGCATTCTCTTGAGGTTTCTCAATTTTGGCTTGAAAAAAAAAACACATTTTTGTGTAAAAAAAAAAAAGTCTTCTGTTCTCTAGATGTTACAGACAATGCCCGCATCCTTCCACCACCTGAAGAAGATGACATAGTCTGGGATCGCGTCTTTAATTCTGACAGAAGACATGTTTTATTGTCGATGGTAGAGACAGCACGAACAACAGATACAACAGAATGCAAGTGTATTATACAGAGCGGAGGCATGGAGACCTCCAATCAGCAGCTGCCACAGTGCCATGTAGCTTGGCCTTCAGATGGACAAAACAAGGGAAAAGTACTGGCTTCTGCACATTGATAGAATGATGAGTTTAACTTTAACAAAAGTTGCTTAATACTAGTATAAGTTTTTACAGACTTGAAATTTCCAGTAACTTGAATTTAAACACTTAGTTGGCAGAACTTGGAAAACTTAACTGACACAACTTAAGTGTAGTTCTTCAAAACTTGAAGAATTAAGTTAATGCCTTCAACTCAAAAATCCTTCGCAGCTGGTTGCTTTGAAATTTTGAGTTGAACTAACTTTTTCTTTTTTACAGTGTGCATGGACCAGAAGTCCAATTAAAATAATGGACAATTGCTCCTGCAGCGACTACAGTGTATGGCACTGCATGAAAAGTTAGATTTTCGTCACCCTAAACGGCAGGAAATCACGCTCTTTTTCATGCTAATGTCCCTACTTTGCATATGAATGCAGCGAAACACCAGTGATGGGCAGTAGCGTCGCTACTAGCTTAACTACATTTTTCAGTAGCCATCTGCACCAGGAGCAGAGAGCCGGCTGCAGCCACAGGGAACGACACAGGACCCAGAGGAGAGAGGAGGCCCCAGACCCCCACCGGATCCAAGAGCCAGACCCCCGAAGCCACAGCAGACCCCAGCTCTCAGTGCAGAGGGCTCCTCCAGAGGAAACACTGGGGACACTAAAACAATACAATAATACAATAGAAAGTAGAACAATAAAATGTGACAATAAAAAGAAAAATGGCAGCTGCCTAATATTGATAATAACAATAGTAAATGGGTAGATACAATAAATAATTAAAAATAGTAAATGATAAAAATAAATACAAATATAATGTGTCTAAAAACATAAATAGATGTACTAAAAAGCAATAATAAATAATAAATACTAATCAAAAGCTACTCTAAAAATGTGCGTCTTGAGCCTACTCTTAAATATATGAACGTTCTCTGCGGCCCTGAGCTCCTCCTCAGACTGTTCCAGAGGGCTCCTGTTTTAAGAAGTTTATATTTTGCTCTGCAATGCATTCTGGGTATCATCACTGCTTCACCACATTTTGTTTTCAATCGACACAATATATTTGTTTTGTCATTAATGGACCAACAGGCTTACAGCAGAAGTATTTTCACTTAATGCAATAAAATCAGTATTGTACAGGGTGCTATGATAATATTATACAGTACTTATTTGTCAACCAAAAATATAAAACAGTGGAAAATGAAGTATATAGTATTTACTTAAATATTTTACATCAAGGTTTGGTCTGATTCACTTATTACAATGTAGAGTTTGCTTTCTGCTCTCCCTGTATAACTGTATACACAGTGGTGAGAAGGCACAGGTCCCGTGCTCGCGGTGTAAAAGCACAGGATGGCGCTGAGGCAGGAAGTGACCGTAGCCATGAGGTGAAAAACTGAACTGCGCATATCGTAAAAGCTTACTCAAGTAATTCCCGCATCAATTTGTTTATTAACTTAAGTAAAGTACTGACTTTACAGACACCTTTCAAGTATTGTCTGATGCAGAAATACCATAGATGATACACACCAACACTTATGAAATGAAATTCAACTATGTCATTTAAAAGTTAGATTTTGACATGAATTGTAAAGGTTACTAATAGTGTGTGGGTGAACAGTAAACTTGGAGAAAAATCAAGTAAAGTATGATCAATAATTTTAGGTGAGGCGGATATAAGGATTTACAGTGTGTGGGCCTCACAGCAGAGGCCTAAAGCAGGGGCCTCATTACTTTAATACTTACAGTCTGTGGTAAATACACGGGCTACAGGTGTTACACGTGCTTAGACTATATTAATATTGTATGTGTAACATTCAAAATAGATTGAGTGAATATTCCCTTTTCCTCATTTAGTGGTTTGCGGAGGAGAGAGCAGCGAGAGAAGTTTGGCAGGGAGTTAAAATAAATGAATTACAGCTTGCTAAATTATTTGAAAGCATCTTCATTATGATTGTTATATTTATGTATTTATTATAAATGTTAGAGATGCCAGAGAAAAGGCGTCTGCTTTTTTTCTGAGTGGGAGGAGACACCAGCGGAGCTGTTTGAGTCAAATAACGTTCAGCGTTATATTACCAATAGTTTCTCTTTCCATAACGATATTCTCTCTTTTTGGAAAGATCACCAACGTGATGCAAAAGTTTACGTTATATGCAGTAGTTTTAATGTCTGCGGGTTATTCCAGAGACTGGCCTGCTACAAGGAGTTGCCGGTTTTAACCAGATTGTCGATGTGCGCGGGGCAGAAACTCGCCAATGTAACCCTGCTCACAAGTGCCACCTGGTGGTTGTTTTGGTCATTGCAACGTCACTGGGAGGGGGGAAAATAAAAGACGAGTGAATCACACGTGAGTCTCGTGTGATTCACGCGTGAAAGGCGACAAAACGGAATGGGACCTACTGTATGGTTGAACTTATGACGAGATTTATTATTTTATCACTCAAGCTTTAAAATATTTTTTAGAGCCTTGATGAACTGGATGACGATGATGTTGGAGAGAAGGACAGAAGGAAGGAAGAGGTGCTGGTCCAAGCCAACACCTTCCAGAACGAGTCGATGACTGCAGACCCGACCACTGGAGACTTCACGGTACATTCTCTTGTTTTAATGTATTTTAAACCACAGATCTGTGAACCTCTGCCGTGTGCGCATTCATGAGTTCTGCCAAACTAAGTGCTGTTGTTCTGCTGCACTGTGTCCCTATTCTCAAAGAAAATGAATTCTTCACAGCTCTGAAGTAAACTACAATCATCTGTTTATTGTTAACATTATAAAAGATGTCCGCAATCACCAGCCTTATAGTATCAATTAGAATTAGAATCAATTTTCTATTGTGTCTGAGACTATATCTTTAGATAATAGCAAAAAGTGTGAAGCTGAAATTACACAGGGATCCTCTTGTCTAACTCAGAGCCGCCATCAGAATAAGAATTAATGAAACGATCAATGTGTGTTGATGAAATAAACCTGAAATTAAGGTCATATTGTGTTTAATAATAGGAATAACCAACCAAAGATGCTGATAGTTCATTTTACCACTCCCCAAACTTGTCTCTTCCTGCAGAATGGGCATATAAATGAAACATCAAAATGAAATCAAATCAGCAATGACACACTCATAATGCAAATCATGTTTTTGACAGGAGCTGATATTCAGCAGGCTGTGTTTGTAATTTCTTTCAGTCTGAACAAAGAAATTAATATAAAGCAGTTGAAAGGAGTACAAATGTTAGCGAAAAACCGTGTTTTTTTTTCATTGTGGTCTTCATGAAAGTAAATCAGGAAGAGTGAAAAACTACAATAATTACATTACCCATTAATCAAAAATGTAGAATGATGGGTCTCATCTAAATTAACTTTCCACAACACATTATTATAGAAATGTGGTATTGTCTTCATTTTATGATATAAACTTACACAAGAAGAAGCACAGACGCTTATTTACGGTCTATGGACCATACACTGGACTCTGAGAGAGGCTGTAACTGACCATAGACGCCGCTGATTCAGTTTCTCCCCGCTGTCAATCATCTCTTGGGGACGGGCTTTTGACGGATTGTGCCACGTCACGATTTGAAACAGCTCGTTTCTGTGCCTCTCGAGAATGAAAGAGAAAGATCGCTCTCTAACTAAAGCTTGAGGGAATCAATGAAAAAACTACTCTGGGCATGTGTATGATGGCCAAATAGCACTGTAATCTTGTTTAAACTATAGAAAAGTCAAAAAGCGTATATGGGACATACAGTGCCTTGCGAAAGTATTCGGCCCCCTTGAACCTTTCAACATTTCGCCACATTTCAGGCTTCAAACATAAAGATATAAAATTGTAATTTTTTGTCATGAATCAACAACAAGAGGGACATAATGAAGTGGAACGAAATTTATTGGATAATTTAAACTTTTTTAACAAATAAACAACTGAAAAGTGGGGCGTGCAATATTATTCAGCCCCTTTACTTTCAGTGCAGCAAACTCACTCCAGAAGTTCAGTGAGGATCTTTGAATGATCCAATGTTGTCCTAAATGACTGATGATGATAAATAGAATGCACCTGTGTGTAATCAAGTCTCCGTATAAATGCACCTGCTCTTTGATAGTCTCAGGGTTCTGTTTAAAGCGCAGAGAGAACCATGAAGACAAAGGAACACACCAGGCAGGTCCGAGATACTGTTGTGGAGAAGTTTAAAGCCGGATTTGGATACAAAAAGATTTCCCAAGCTTTAAACATCTCAAGGAGCACTGTGCAAGCAATTATATTGAAATGGAAGCAGTATCAGACCACTGCAAATCTACCAAGACCCGGCCGTCCCTCCAAACTTTCATCTCAAACAAGGAGAAGACTGATCAGAGATGCAGCCAAGAGGCCCATGATCACTCTGGATGAACTGCAGATAACTACAGCTGAGGTGGGAGTCTGTCCATAGGACAACAATCAGTCGTGCACTGATTGGCCACAAATCTGGCCTTTATGGAAGAGTGCCATTTCTCAAAGATATCCATAAAAAGTCTCGTTTAAAGTTTGCCACAAGCCACCTAGGAGACACACCAAACATGTGGAAGAAGTTGCTCTGGTCAGATGAAACCACAATCAAACTTTTTGGCCACAATGCAAAACAATATGTTTGGCGTAAAAGCAACACAGCTCATCACCCTGAACACACCATCCCCACTGTCAAACATGGTGGTGGCAGCATCATGGTTTGGGCCTGCTTTTCTTCGGCAGGGACAGGGAAGATGGCTAAAATTGATGGGAAGATGGATGGAGCCAAATACAGGACCATTCTGGAAGAAAACCTGTTGGAGTCTGCAAAAGACCTGAAACTGGGACGGAGATTTATCTTCCAACAGGACAATGATCCAAAACATAAAGCCAAATCTACAATGGAATGGTTCACAAATAGACGTATCCAGGTGTTAGAATGGCCAAGTCAAAGTCCAGACCTGAATCCAATCGAGAATCTGTGGAAAGAGCTGAAGACTGCTCTTCACAAATGCTCTCCATCCAACCTCACTGAGCTCGAGCTGTTTTGCAAGGAAGAATGGGAAAGAATTCCAGTCTCTCGATGTACAAAACTGATAGAGACATACCCCAAGCGACTTGCAGCTGTAATTGCAGCAAAAGGTGGCGCTATAAAGTATTAGCGCAAGGGGCCGAATAATATTGCACGCCCTACTTTTCAGTTTTTTATTTGTAAAAAAAGTTAAATTATCCAACAAATTTCATTCCACTTCACGATTGTGTCCCACTTGTTGATTCTTGACAAAAAATTTAATTTGTATATCTATGTTTGAAGCCTGAAATGTGGCGAAATGTTGAAAGGTTCAAGGGGACCGGATACTTTCGCAAGGCACTGTATGTGCCCCAGAACAGCATAGGATGGACTGTGAAACATGAATAGGGCAATATGGTACCTGCCCTGATCTGGATTCATATTGCTACGCTACTCTAGAGTAACTAATTGATTTATCTGTGAGTTTTATGCTGGTGTTGTGTGCACCTGGCAAGTGGTTCAGTTGTGACCCGTGAAAATAGTGAATGAAGAGTTTTGGAGAAGTCACAGCAGTCAGTTTCTTTGCACATGAGATAAAGCATAGAAACACCCATATTGATATGCTCAATTGTAACTATGTAATACATTAAAAACAATCCATTTGATTGGTTTTTCATGTTCAATGTTTCTCAAGTGGCAGAGCATATTTCAAAAGTACTTTTTAAACTCACTTTTGGGTTCTAGATTAGTTTCAGTGCAATGTTGAGCCTTCTGACCTGAGATGACGGCGATTGCGCCCCACTGTGGCACCTGGTGTTCCCAAAGGTCTCCCATCATGGTACTAACCACGCCGTTTGAGTGCTGATGAGATCTGGCTTTCACATGCAGGTGCGCCACTAGTACTTTTGCAAGCTACTGTATATTATGTTTTTCATTTTTGATTATCCTAAGTGAAAGTGGCATTAATATTATTTGGGCCAGAATTATAATCCCACTCTACACTTCAAAATGCATTAGATCAGTGGTTCTCAAACTTTTTACACCAAGTACCCCCTCAGAAAATACTTTCCTCTCCAAGTACCACCACAAATGACCAACACCACACAGTAGCGTAATAAGTATTCGTCAATAACAAGGCAGATGTTTCATTCCGTAAGTAAGTAATCTTTATTTATATACTGCCTTTCACAGACCAGAGTCACAAAGCGGTTTACAATTGTTATTATTATTATTATTATTATTTGTCCTCTCACTCCACACAGAGATGGGAGTGGGGTCGCCAGTACAGGAGGCCTATTGTACATATCTTTAGTGGCAGGGGAAACCGGAGTGCCCGGAGGAAACCTACGCAGACACGGGGAGAACATGTAAACTCCACTCAGGCCCTGGTCCGACCGGGATTCTAATCCAGGACCTTCTTGCTGAGAGGCGAGAGTGCTATCCACTCAGCCACCGTGCCGCCCAAGCTGCGCCTACATGGAACGTGTTGCAAAAAGACTGGAAATGATCTGAACTTATTTCATTGAATGCTTTCAGATCTAGATTGAGAGCACTTGAGACATCTTCAGTGAAATTAAGATTAAGAGATCCTTTATTTGTCCCACAGTGGGGAAATGTTGGTGTTGCATGACAGGTTATAGAACAGTAGGAAAGAGGAGCACACAGCACACGTTAAGTGAAAAATAGCTATACTAAACAAAATAAAAATAATCTAACTCTAGCATCAATAATAAGTATAAAATCTTTATCTTGAAAAAATAATAGATTATAGAGTATGTAGTTTTTGTACAGGACTCCCTTGAAATAGAGGTTCTCATTGACTGCCAGCCATTTTTGATGACTTCACTGATTTTTAAGAATCACAGAATATTGTATGCTAGTCTGAAAAACTGGACTGTTTGCTTTCAGCAGCAAAAAGTAGTTTGTTTTAGCTTGTTTCGTTCTCCTGTGATCTCCAGTCGAAAAGAGGGGAGTGTGACAAAAAGCACCAGTCTTAGACAAAAAGATGAGAAAATGAGGTGTTTGTGAAAACAGATGAACCTGCAAAAAAGGGACTGTAAAACTATTTAGTTTAACTCCTCCTCAGACATGTCCAGGATCTTAAATGTTAGAAAACAGCAACAACAAGTTATGAGAAAGTGTTTTTGATGCAAAATAATGTTTTATGGCACACACACCCATATCCACAAAGTGTTGCTCAAATATTTCAAAATGTACTCATACAAAAAACGTCAAAATTGACACATTGAAAGTAGAGCCCATGACAAACTATCCCAGAAAGAATGGCCAGTATTCATCCATTAGGTGGCGCTACCTTTGCAATGATAAACACTATATCGGGCGGCACGGTGGCTGAGTGGATAGCACTCTCGCCTCTCAGCAAGAAGGTCCTGGGTTCGAATCCCGGTCGGACCAGGGCCTTTCTGAGTGGAGTTTGCATGTTCTCCCCGTGTCTGCGTAGGTTTCCTCCGGGTACTCCGGTTTCCCCTACCACTAAAAATATGTCCAATAGTTCTAGCATGCGCCTCCTGTACTGGCCCCGCTCCCATCTCTGTGTGGAGTGAGAGACAAATGCCCAAAAATTAACAATTGTAAACC